ACTCTAATACCAAAGAGGTTGAATGACTAGTACGTGGCGTTGTCGAGAGGTTGAATGATCAATACATGATATTATTATACCTGAGAATGATCTTTAGATTGGGTCATAAGTTTCTAGTTGATATACTGAGTTTGGAAAAAGAAAACAAATTTCTAATGTGAATGAACAAGGCAAGACCAACAATGTTAAGATCTTTGATCAAACATAGATCATACTTAAATATGCAGAAATATAAATATTGCAAGAATATAAATAATAGAAATAGAAATAAAATCTTACTTAAATTTGTATGATAAATCAATATATGAGATATTGGTTACAAAGAAGAATGGTTATGGGAAAATAGGAGAGTAAAATTTTATAAGAAAAAATGATAGTCCTCCCTCTAAGGCTTTAAGAGTCCCCTTTTATAGAAGATTCGCAACAGATGAAGCCAAAATGGCTTTTGAAAAGCTTGGAGATTCCTTTAGAATCCTTGTGCTATTATCTTTCATGTTTAGGTGACGACAAAAATGAAAATTGCCCATTTTTTTATAGGATTTTTGTTTGTTATCTTCTTGTAATCGACATTTAATTTGTCTGTTTGTGGTATTAGGTATGGAGAAAAGGCCAAAAATAATGGGCTTAACAACAAAAAAGACTCAAAATAGTTGATTCAAAAAAATATGAGCTCTAAATAGATAAGCCTGAAATACTCATTTTTTTAGTGCCTCTTGATGGGTGGAAGAATGCTAAAGCAGTCATCTTCGTTATTGTCTCTATGATATTTTTAAAATAGATTTTATAATCAAAACTGAAGAAAAGAGATATTTAGCTTATAAAATCTTTTGAAACCATCCAACTCCTTTCTAAAAAATCCTTACAAAACATCCAGCTAGAAACTATGAATACATCCACGTTGGTTTTATCCAAGTTGGGATAAAACCCCTTTCAAGATGCTAGATTTCAAAACTTTCAAGACTCATTTCTAAGTTCTACTGAGTCTAGCCTTTGTAATGACTAAGTTTCATTTAACTATTATCAAACTTAACCATATCCCTCAAAGATAAAAATATCTTACAAAGTATGCTACTACAAATAAATACCTATACTTATAATATACTGAAAGGATCAATCCTTATTGCTCTCATATTTAAAATCCACTACAAAGCCATGTTCTCAGCCTTTGCCAGCAAACATAAATTTCAATCCTAAAAACGAGAAAAACTCATTTTATAAACAAATTTATCCCGCTCAAACACTGTTGTCCTAAAATCAATGCAATGAAAAGATATATCCCTTCTAGAAGATTAGATCCTTAAAGGAGCAGCACAACTAGAATTACCTGAACCACCTTAACCTAATGTCCAAATAAAAAACATTTCTCAGTACACAAATGACAAAGTTAAATTGTCTTTTCATTGACACTCTACAAGTTCTAAATTCTCATAAGACTCCTTTTCTTTCGACACTCTACAAGTTCTAAATTCTCATAAGACTCCTTTTCTTCCAGTATAATAGATTTGGAAATAATTTTTAAAATCCCTTATGTTATCAATATCCTTTATCATGCAAATCCTCTTAGAAAATCTAAATCTGATATCCTTTTTACTAATTTCCAAAATGAAACTTATACTACAAATATATTAAAAATTGTTTATACAAAAGTTGAGCAACCATCTACTCCAATATTTTTAGCTGTTACTGAAAACATCCAAAACGAGCTGAATATTTTAACTTCAGATAAGCATTTTATCATCAACAAAACTCTTTTCAAAAGAGATTTTTATGGAGACCATAATTCTGAAAAACGATCTTAGTTTTTTTAAAACTTCTTCCACTAGAGAAATGATATTTAAAAATAATTATATGCTTACATTGAGACCTATAAGGTACAAATCTTATTCTTTGATTAGTTTGAATTTCATTATGCACCAACACAACATATTACATATCCATTTGCATCCATTAAACATGTATGTTGTATTACAACCCGTTCCAAAATTCATGTATGGAACCTCACCAGTGGAACTACAGTTGAGTCTGATCATCCACCTTTGTGCAACATACAACTTACTCACAAAGACCAAACAGTTAATGCAACTCCATACAAAATGCCTGGAGAAGACACCCTTACAAATACTAAACATATCATTCAACAAGATAATTTTACAAATACAAACCTCAATACTATAGGAAACAACTTACCAAACTAGAAAAACAAATACCAGAAAACCCAATTAACTTTATGAACGATAAAAACCTAGTCGACCTTAAGCTAAAAAACCCAATATTCAAATCATACTAAGTTACCAAGACAAGCCAATCACAAATTCAAGAAAATCAAACAGAGTTTCTTAGAGCCATTAAAACACACTTACAAAACCTTGACCGAACAAACTTGATAATTTTTTTGTTACTCCTGGTCATAACTTGTGATTACTTGTTGATCAAATCATGTCAATAAGCTAACCAATTTGGTTGCTTTTGATCACTACCTATGGCATTTCATCGATCAAGTCATATCAATAAGTTGAGTCATTTGATCACTCATAATCACAATCTATGACTTATTATTGATAAAGTCATGTTGATGAGTTGAACCATCAGACCCACAACAGTTTATAAAACAAATATATTATTTTTTCTCTAAAAAACATAACTTTTTAAAATTTTTAGAACAAGTGTTGGACCTATATGGGTAGTGAGAAATCAGGTGTTGGACCCGCGTGAAACGATAAGAAAATTTAGACATTAGACCTGCATTGTCACCTTCCACTTCGAGTCAATCCTCCCATCTCAACATAAAAAATAGGAGCAGGACTTTAAATATAGAAGGAGTGCCTGTAATTATAGGGTAAAACATTATAATTCCCACTACTTATACAAGTTGGTTTGGTCAAGATCATCATTGATGGTCCTTCCATAATTGGCTAATTGATATTTACAAACTTCTATCTTCTTATCTTGACAAGTTATCTTTCTTAGCACTCTCTAGCCTTAACATTCATGAGATCATCATTCTTTCCATCTCATCATAAAACTTCTCATAATGGTCAATATAATGACCAAATTGTCAATGGTATTCTTTAAAAGTTCTTATTTGGATTTGGATTTGGATTAGTAGAGGTAAATGTTTGAAAATTATAAGTATTGTAGTTACTATCGTGGTATTTTTTTATATTTTCCTTCATAACCTCCACCTTTGACATCATATACTTTAGCTTATTTCTTTCTTCTAATAAAACCCATCTTCTTAGATGGGTCAACAATTACTAAATTGGTAAAATGTTGTGTTGTGCTCCAAGCCAAATGCTCAAAATATAAGGCTTTAAAAGTATTAAGAATAAACTAACTATCTTTTTCTCCAACAAAAAAGGATTAACTTGAGCAACCATCTCACTCCATCTCTAGGCATACTCTCAAATAGATACCTTTTTCCTTTCTTTAAAACTTGCAAGCTTGACATATTAGGTGCAATATCCATGTTGAATTTGTATTGCCTAATAAATAAGAAATATGAATATTCCTCCAATTTTCTGGCCAAAAAAGGAATGTCCATATGCCCTAGCTAACCATCCCATGCAAAGCTTAATTTAGGGTCTGTTTGAGATTATGGTTGCGATTGTGGTTCAAAATATTTTTTATTTAGAAATATATCAAAATGATATTTTTTATTTTTTAAAAAAATATTTTTAAAATCAACATATCAAAACAATTAAAAAATATAAAAAAATAATTTTTAACATTTTTTTTAAAATTTTTAAAAAACACGAGTTGGTCCGCATTTTCAAACTATCACTTAACGTGGTTAATTTCTAGCAATAGCCATTGACTATGAAACATTGTTATTTTAGGTTATATTTTACGGAAATAGATTTTAATTCTTTAGATACCTAAATTCTAGACCCATTATCTTATTAATTTGTTTTATCCGAATTTCCTTAACAAATTCATTTGACTGGATAAAATTAAGTCTTGGGACAGTCTTGACTACATAAGATTATATTTAGAAAAATTAAAATTTATTTATTTTAAAAATTATAAATAATCAAAAGATATAATTTGGAAAACCTATTTTTTTTTTAATTTTACCCTAAAGCTTAGGTAGTTTGGAATTCTTCAAAAATCTTAAAAAAAAATTCAGATTAGTTCGGATGATTGGAGGTTTTTTTTTTTTTATTGTTTTTAGTGCTCACCGGCCCTACTTATGGTGCTGGGAGGATTATTATGTCATCCCCTTATGCTGCACTTGTTAATTAATTGTTAGTGGTGGCGGTGGTGCATAGATTGATAGGGAGAGATCATGACTCGTTGAGAAATATATATATATATATATATATATAGTACACACACACACACTGTATTTCTTAAATCAAGGGCACACACAGAGGAAGAGAAGTATTATATGTTAAAGCAAAGAGATAACTGGTAAAATGAAAGAACAAAAGGATGCTCATAATGCCACCTTTTCTTCATGCTAGTTGGTAGAGGACCTCAATTATTCGAAGTCAAAAGAAACAATAATAATAATGTATTAACTAGTTTAGAGGCTGATGGACACATGTTGGTATGATTGATTAGAACATCCACCTTTTAACTACCTGTTGAGTTTCAGTTGAATTTAGCTTCCACGTCTAGCAGAGGATATAGACTAAAGCAAGCCAGCCAGCCAGCCAGCCAGTGGGTTGATCACAACTTTTGTATATAGACTAAAGCAAGCCAGCCAGTGGGTTGATCACAACTTTTGCTAAAAAGAAGGCTTTAAGGAAGGAAATATGGAGGAAGACACGAAATATAAAAAAGAGATGATACTTTAGTCTTCAATGGTCTTTAGGGTTTAGGATTGGACCAGCAGGTCATAGCTGATACACACACAATCTGAGTAAGCGCAGCCTTCTTGTTTGATTAATTTGATTCAAATAATTAACCTGTTAGGCCTAGCTAGATAGGCACCTTTATATTTGAATATTAGTTAAACCATATCCATAATTCAAGCTGATTAAATCCCAAAAACATAGATAAGGAAGTTGGTTCAAACTCAAACAAGGCAATAAGAGATGATGTAGAATTTGAATAAGCCATCAAATTCTATTGGAACAAACCCTACCATTCTCAAGTTGCCTTGGTTTTGTGCTCAAATGTATACGCTGAGTAATATTTAGGGTACAGTGGCCCCTTGCCTACAGAGAGCTACGCAGAAAAAGAGTAAAAGATAGAAACCTAGCTGTATATGTGTATGCCCAAGGAAGGAGTCGCTGAGGAGATAGACATTGGGTGGACTGGTCTTGGCTCCAATTCCCGGTGCACAATGGTTTCAAATTTGTGTCAGATAAGTACATCTGTATACAGGGAAAGCATAGATTAATTTATTCAGGTCCCAGTTTGAAAAGCATTACTAGAAAACACCCCACTATGGACAAGGTCTGAGTTGTGGTTACCCTCCCAATGCCCTATCCTGAGTTCTTTCTGACCCCTTTTTTGGCTTCTGTGACAGGTTAGAGAGAGGAGAGCCCCATGTCTATATATCATGATTTATGAATTGAGAGATTGGAGTGCACAACAACACAACACATGAAACAAAAGGATATTGGGTGAGCCCTAGGCAAATTATTAAATAACACTATACAATGTTGCACCATTAGGACCTATAAATTTCTTTTTATGCACTAGTTTAATATTTTAATGTTCAAAAACCTCGCAGATCCAGCACAGACATTAGATTCCCTCTTCTTCTATAGAGCTTGTTTTGAGAGAGAGACAGGGAGAGCAGTTTTGAGGAGTTGCAGCAAAGAAGGCCTCTCTTTTCTTCTGTATCTCACGTACTTGCAGCAAGAGGTTAAGGTAATTTCATTTACTGTTTGTGCTATACTCTAGTTGCATCATAACCGGCTTCTTATGGTCTAAAGAACTTTTGCTTTTACTTGTTTTAATCAATGAAACAATCTTAATCCAGTTTCTGGAAGCCGCTTTTATGTTTTAGAAGTCTGATATATGAATTGATCACCTATTGTTTCAGAACAAAGCTCGCGTTCCACATCTACAACTGTTCATATGTGAACATGGCCGTATTCTCCTGGTAGATGTTAAAGTTAAACAGTGTATTGGTCAATATATACTCTGAGAGGCAGAAGAAAATAGGTGTATAGTCTGACTGACAGAGGCCCACAGTGAGAGAAGATATGTATGCACACCACATGCAAATTTCTTCTGTGTGAGCCTTACCGTTGCATTCATCTTCTGGCTATAATTTTTGGTCAGAACTGCTCACTTAAATATCACTGTCAGCTTAAATGGGAGCAAAGAATCAAATCCAATGGAGAAAGCAAGAGCTCACCTTCTTGGCTGCTGCATATTTAGCCAAATATGGTTCCTGTAAGGACATGTGATGCAAATAATGAAGGGCCTTTATCACCTCCCAGTCTGTGACTTTACTCAAAGTACAGCTACAGAGAGGTACTAAAGCAGTAAATTCTTGCGGAGAAGAATATTGCCTTCTAAGCATAGCTTTCTAAGAAAAAGTTGCTTTCATGGTCATGGATGAAGAAGGATCGCTTGCTGGTAAACTTCCTCAAGAACCCCCTAGTGGCCTCACCATCAAGATTTCTACTTCTGGCAGCAGAATTGGTAAGAACATGTTAACTCCCCTTGGTTGTTCAAATTCAGATTCAGCTTCTCCAAACTTGAAAAACTCAATTGAATCATCCCCATGTAACTCTCCACTGGTGTCACCACCTTCATCAGCCTTTGTTTCAGCCTTACAGTCACCATACATATCACCAAGGGCTATAACCCCAAAACCACAAGAGAACCCAGCCCCACCTGAGAACCTAACACCAGTCTCCCACTCCTCACCACCATTCTCATCATACCGTGGTTCACAATCAGATGACATACCAAGCAGCTCTTACACTCCCCCATCAGACCAATATGAATATTCTGATGACCCCACAGAGGCCAAGCTCAAGTATGTCACTTGTGTTCCGGTCCCAGATCCTGCTCCTCCTAGAATCTCATTCTCTTTTCCAGTCCCACGCATTTCCTTTAAAGGGCCTGTTTCTCCAGCTTCCAATGCCAAACTCAGGAGCTGTGATGTTTACATTGGCTACCATGGTCAGAATCCTAATCTTATGCGCTTCTGTAAGTGGCTTAAATCAGAGCTAGAGCTTCAGGGAATTGTTTGCTTTATTGCGGATAGAGCCAAGTACTCGAATACTCAGAGCCATGAGATTGCTGACAGAGTTATCTGTTCTGTGACTTATGGAGTTGTGATTGTGACTAACTCTAGCATCCTCAATCATCCCAGCTTGGAGGAGATTAGATTCTTTGCTCAAAAGAAGAACTTGGTTCCAATTTTCTACAACACCGGCCTTGCTGAGATCACAGGTCTTCTCAACTGCAACTCAATTGATAAAGAGTGTAGAGAAGTGATTGACGGACTAGTGAAGTCTAATGAGTTGAAGCTGGAGTTCAATGAGGGTAATGGGAGGAGCTGTGTAGCTAAAGCTGCTGGGATATTAAGAGCAAAGCTCGGGCGAAAGAGTGTGGCCGAGAAAGCTGCAGAAGGATTTGAGGAGATTCCATTTCCAAGGAACAAATGTTTTGTAGGACGAGAGAAGGAGATTATGGAGATTGAAACTGCATTATTTGGATGTACTGATAGTTCTGAACAGGATTATGCTGTGCCGATCATTAAAGGAGAAACCAGTGGGCAATCTGAGGGCCTTGCAGATGAAGAAAGTGATACTTTTAGCAGCACCCGAGGAGGGAGATTTATTAATTTGGAATTGGGAGGGAAGTGCAAAGAACCGACATTGGAGGCTTGGGTGGAACCAGTTACGGGAAGGAATTCATTGAAGAGATCAAAGTACAAGAAATCGAAAAGTGGGAATTACAAGACCCTGGATAGCAGTGTGTTTTGCATAAATGGCGTTGCAGGCGTTGGAAAGACAGAACTTGCTCTTGAATTTGCTCATAGATATTCCCAGCGGTACAAAATGGTCTTGTGGGTTGGCGGGGAAGCTAGATATTTCAGGCAGAACTTATTAAATCTATCACAGAATTTGGGGTTGGATGTGAGTGCTGATGCTGAGAAGGAAAGAGGAAGGATTCGAAGCTTTAAAGAGCAAGAAAATGAAGCATTTGAGAGAGTCAAAAGGGAATTGTTTCGAGACATGCCATATCTGCTCATTATTGACAACCTTGAGACAGAAAGAGAATGGTGGGAAGGGAAGGATCTGCATGATTTGATTCCAAGGAACACTGGAGGGACACATGTGATCATCACAACAAGATTATCCAAGACGATGAACTTTGACATATTGCAGCTGCCACCGTTGGAATTGACTGATGCAATGATCTTAATGAGAGGAAAAAGGAGAAGAGATTATCCAAATGAGGAACTTCAATTTCTTCATAAATTTGATGAGAAATTGGGAAGGTTGAGCTTTGGCCTGTGGTTGGTTGGGTCACTTCTTTCTGAGCTTGCAATTTCTCCATGTGCACTTTTTGAAGCTGTGAACCAAGTTCCGCTTGAAGATGGTTCTACTTACTCCTACGTGAGCATGAGTGATGAGCAGTACTGTAAGAGCTATCCTTTCCTAATGAAACTTCTCCATTTCAGTTTCATTATCTTGCAGCAAACCGATGGAAGAAAAAACCTTCTTGCCTTAAGAATGCTTCTTGTTGGTGCTTGGTTTGCCCCAGCTCCCATTTCAGCAACTTTGCTGGCCACTGCAGCTAAGAACATGCCCGCAATTGGAAATGGATTCAGAAAATGGACCAAATGCGTGAGCCTCGCATTTTCTTGCTGCTCTGGGTGTAGATTGGCACCCCAAAGCGAAGAAGATGCCGCCACTCTTCTTGTTAAACTAGGCTTAGCACGAAGAGCCAACAGACAGCCAGGTTGTTGGATTCAATTCCACCCAATAACTCAAGTTTTTGCAAGAAGAAAAGAAGGTTTATCCGCAGCCAAGGCTACAGTCCAGGGAGTGAGGAAAGTTAGCAATCCATCCATCAACACAAACCATCTATGGGCATCTGCATTCCTTGTCTTCGGATTCAAATCCGAGCCTCCGCTTGTTCAACTGAAGGCTATTGATATGGTTTTGTACATAAAGAAGACAGCTGTGCCGCTAGCAATTAGAGCCTTCACAACGTTCTCAATATGTAATTCAGCATTGGAGCTTTTAAAGGTGTGCACTAATGTGCTTGAAGAAGTAGAGAAGTCATTTGTATCGCAAATACAGGACTGGTGTCATGGTTCTCTTTGTTGGAAAAGGAATATTCATGGTCATCAAAGGGTAGATGAATATTTGTGGCAAGATGTGACATTGTTGAAAGCTAGCTTGCTTGAGACTAGAGCAAAGTTGCTGCTTAGGGGTGGTCATTTTGATGGTGGTGAAGAGCTGTGCAGGACTTGTATAAGCATCCGGACAGTGATGCTTGGTCACGATCATGCTCAAACATTGGCTGCCCAGGAAACACTAGCAAAGTTGGTTAGAATGAGAAGCAAAGTATGATCCTAGTAATCTCTATCGATGAAAGAATGGATTATCAGATACCATGGAGAGCTCAGTTTTGTTCACATCGTAATCATGTTTTTAGCTAGAAACATAACCATTAAGTTACTCATAATGTAGTTTTCTCCATTGCATATTATAACATTTACTTCAAGTTGATGAAGCCTCAATTTGTTTGTCACTTTCTGTATATTTTGCATGACAAAGATATTCAATTAGGATTTTTTTTTTCATTCCTTGGAAGTGTGGATTAGATTTTAGAAATGGAAACAAGAACACATCTTGGATGTAACCCATGAAAGTAGAGGGATTGAAAAGGACAGGAAATCTGAATTGTCAAAGTTCTGAAGGCACCCCATTGTAGTAGATAGAAGGTGTTTGGTCGACACCCTACAATGACAGCTCTGGTAGATAATTTGATAACAAAACCAATACTCATCAGTGCACATATTAAGAAATTAAGGCACTGAAGTTGTTTCTTGAGATCATAGGTATCTGAAATTCTCATTTGTTTTAGCTACATAGCTAAAATAAGTTCATCTTCATCTTTTAATAATGGAGTATGGAAATGAAAATCAGTTAAAAAAAATGAAGGATTGAAATTGAATCCTTATATTTCTTCCACAGCAGGGCTGCCACTTCTAACAGATGCCTCCAGGAATATACATTACTGGAACATTTTTGATAAATCAAATCTATGGATTTTTTTTTTCCAGCATGAAGTCTGGAACAATTATTCAAATGAAGTGCATACAATATGCTGACCTGATCACAATTTTCCTTGTAGATCAAGGTTGAAATTGTTGTTAAAAGATATATAGAGAACTCAACTTAGTTAAGTTTACGAAGAACAGAAATTATAGAGGTAAAAGTAAAGAACAAGAAGCAGAACAATATTTTATTAGGTTATTATTATTCTTCAACTTTTACTTGCAGATAAAATCAAATACTACAAATTATAAAAATCATAACAACCATAATCACTTTTATTAAAAAAATTATATAATTGACTAGACTTATCCTAAATAAACTTAAATCTAAAGAATAATAATAAAAAAAACAACATAAAAAAAATCATGCCATTAACAGATAAACAGTAATAAAAGAAAAACCATAGCTTAATAACAAGCTTTTAGCTTTGTGCCATAACTTCAACACTCCTCCTTGACTCCAAAGCTATACATTCCAATCATTTCCTTTAAGGTTTCAAATCTATTTTTAGCTAAAGTCTTGATAAACAAATCTAGATTAGTTAGTATTTTTCTTAACCAGATTAGTTACTTTACTACCATATATGTTGCTATGTATTATACCTATGCAGTAGAGTATACAACCACTAATTGCTTCTTTGATTCCAATAGAAAATGCTTTCTTCCTAGCTAAAGAATAGCCTAAAATGCTCATCATTTCTTCATCACTTTTAGCCCAATCACTATTAGAAAAAACCAACAAGTTTAACATAATTAGATTTCATAAAATGCATGCCAAACTCTATGGTCTATTTTAGATATCTTAGAACTCTCTTGGCTGCCACAAAATGAATTTGACTTGGACCTTACATAAACCTAAATAGGTAATTGACAGCAAACACAATGTTTGGATGTATAGTAGTTAAATATAACAAGTTGCTAACTAAACTTCTATAGGCCTTACCATATGTTTTGGATGCTCCATCCTCCTTTATTAGCTTCTGTCCTAGTACCATAGGTGTACTAACTAGTTTGTAATTTTATATCGCAAATTTATTTAGTAGCTTTAAAGTAAACCTCTTTTGACATAAAAAATAACCTTTCATAGATTGAGTTACCTCTATACTTAAGAAATATGTTAGCAAATGAAGTTCATTCATCTTAAAATTATCCTTTATATTGGCTTTAAACTCTTTTATAAGTTACTCTTTATCTTCTGTAATCAATAAATCATCTATATATACTAACACAATCAGTTTATATTTATCAACATACTTAATATATAAAATTAATTCATTCATACTCCTTTTAAAGCTTGAGCTTAAGAGATGACTATCCATTCTGTTGTATCTTCTTGTGAGTTGGTATGTCATCCAGTATCTAGGTTTGATTCTTTTCGATCATAGTGAGCTCCTCCTTCATTGTTATTGTCCAAACTTGTAAACCGATTGCTTTTTTAAAATCTACCAGCTTTGCTTCAACAACATTGCACCTATTATAAATATCAACTAAAGACCTTATCCCTCTTACTTATATAAAGAACTTAACTTAATTAAGTTTAAAAAGAACAAAAATCAAAGAACAAATAACTAAAAGTACAAAAACAATAAGCAAAACAATATTTCATTAGGTTACAACCATCCCTTAACTTTTATTTCTAAATGAAATCAAACACTATAAGATCATAAAAGATAAGAGATAAGAATCATAATAACCATAATCTCCTTTATCTAAGGAATTATGTAACTGAGTAGACTTATCTTAGATAAGCTTAAATCTACATAATCAAAAAGAAAAAAACAATATTAAGATAATGATGTCATTAATAGATAGATAATAATGAAAGAAAAACCATAGTTGAATAACAAACTTTCAGCTTTGGTACCACAATAGAAATCCATGGTATTTTAGAATCATTAGACCAATAAAATTATAATGATGAAGTTCATTGCACTATAATTCTACGATTAACATAAATCAATTCGGTTGAGGAGTTTTTGAAAAAAAGTTGCTGATAAAAATAGATTGGAAAAATTCCAACTCAAACACTAGAAACAACTAAAAGATTATGATGGACATTTCAATAATCCATAGAAAATGATACAAGAAAAATATTGGAAACAAGTGCAAGATTGCAATGGGTGTTTCAAACAACAACAACATCATTATAATGTTCAGTGCATAATAGGCTATTTCAAATACACACATCTTTCCAACTAAGTGCTTGGAAAGCAACAAATAAACTTCAACTGATACACACAAATGTTAAAGATTCTTAGAGAACAGCTTCACTGCATAATCTTTATAAATGATTATTCTAGATTTTATAGGATTTATTTTTTTAAATTCATATTTAAGATTGCTAATGTATTTTGAAAGTATAAAACATTAATGGAAAATCAAAGTGACTGCAAGATATAAATTATAAGGTCTAATATTGGAAAGAAATATACCAATGAAAGATTTCAACCATTTTTTCATGAATTTAGCATTGAACACCAACTTACAGAACCATACACGCCACAACATAATTGTGCGAGTAAAGGAAAAAATAGGAGCATCATAGATATAATTAGATGCATTCTATATGAAAATGAGCTACCAAAAAAATTATAGGCTGATATTGCAAACACAGTAGTGTATCCTGTGAACAGGATATCAACTAGTGTTTTATATAAAATAACCTTATTTGAAGCTTGGTTTGGATACAAACCAAACTTATAACATTTTAAAACTTGTTGTTGTCTTTGTTTTACTTATATGCCACATGTTAAAAGAGACAAGCTGGATAAAAAATCTAAACCAAAAGTATTCACTAGATACAACATTCCATCCAAAGTTTATAGAATTTTCCAACTATAAAATAAAAAAAAATTGGTAAGCAAAAATGTTAACTTTATAGAAGACAAACAATGTAAATGGGAGGAACCAAAAGAGAAGCAATAATCATCAACTGGGAAAGTTATTAATGACAATATTGATGATGAGTCTGTTAGAGGTGCAAGATCTTTATTTGATATTTATGAAAAAAAATAACATTGTTGTTTATGAGCATGTAGAGTTTGAAGATGCAATAAAAAATGACGAATGGATTAAAACAATGAAAGAGGAGCTTAGAATGATTGAAAAGAATAATACTTAAGTATTGGTGGACAAACCTCTATAGAAAAAGGCTATAGGAGTCAAGTGGGTTTATAGAACTAAACTTAATACTTAATACAGATGGTTCTATAAACAAGTACAAGACTAAATTAGTTGTGAAAGGTTATACTTAAGTGTTTGGAGTGAACTTCTTAAAAACTTTTACACCTGTAGCATGACTTGATATAATCAGGATGCTACTTACACTATCAGCACTAAAGGGTTGAAAAGTTTATCAGTTATATCTAAAATCTACTTTTTTGAATGGTTATCTATAGGATGATGTTTTTTAAAACTACTAAAAGGTTTTGAAACCAAGGGACAAGAGGGGGAAGGTCTATTGTATTTGTTTATGTTAATTATTTTCTTGTAATAGAAAGTGATGAGAAACTGATAGAAAATTTCAAGGCTGAAGTGCTCAAAGTATTTAAAATAATATTCCTTGGTTCAATGTTCTATTTTCTATAAATGGAGAAGCAAAGACATGATGGAATCTTTATATTTTAAAAGAAGTATGTTAAGGAGATACTAAAAAAGTTTCATATAAAGAAATGCAAAAGCATAAGCAATTCCATAAATCAGAAGGAGAAATTCAGTGAGGATTATGGAGCAGACAAAGCTAATGAAGGTCAGTACATGAGCTTAATTAGGTGTTTAATATATCTTATATCAACAACTAAAAATAAGTTTCCTCTCATAATTCATGCATTATGCTAGTGAATTACATTTTCAAGTCTCTAAAATGAGACTATTCTGATAATGATTAGGCAGGATTTGTGGATAATATGAAAAGTACTACAAACTATTGTTTCAGCTTTGGATCAAAGATATTCTCTTGATGTTCAAGAAAGCAAGATATTGTTGTTCAAAGCACAACTAATGCTAAATATGTAGCAGATACTAATGTTGTAAATCAAGTAATCTATATTAGAAAAATACTTACAAATTTGCATAAAGATCAACTTGAGCTAACACAGATTTATGTTGATAACTTATTTTGTTTTCCGTGGCAGGACTAAACACTTTAAAATCAAGTTGTATTTTTTAAGAGAAATCTAGAAAGAAGGTGAAGTTATCCTGCTTTATTACAAAACTAATGATCAAATTGTTGATGTGTTAACTAAAGGTAGATGTGTTAACTAAAGCTTTTTTAAAAGTAAATTTTTAAGAATTAAGAAGCAAGTTAGGTGTATATTGGTTCTAAGATAAAAAAGGAGTATTGAAAGAATGCCTTAAAAGTTGTTAAAGATCAGTAGGGTTGTTAAGGAGAGGATTAGCTAGAAGATTTTTACTTGAAGACAAAGTCTTTAAGAATAAATTCTATTATTATTTTCTTGTTTTGTTATTCGAAGTTTGTATATTTGATTGGTTATGCTGGTAAAAAAAACTTATTTAAGAGAGTTATTCAATCAATAAAATTCATTCTTCCACACAACTTGTCTTTCATTAGGTTTTATTTTGCACAATGTATTATAAGGTTCAGCAAATTCAATCACAAAGCATCACAGAAAGTGCCTAAATTTAGGCTTGAAACCCTGGAAATAAAGATTAAACCCCCGCTCAAAATAAAAAGGGTGTCTGTACAAAGAAGCAGATAATGAAAATCCAAAGATACATGATGCAGAACGAACATAAGAAAATGTGAAATCTAATAAAAAAAAAATCATTAGAAAAAGACCTTATAAATCAATAAGTTATTTAGGTGCACATGCACAATTCTAAAGCAAGCCAACTGTGCATGCATTCTCATACAAGTTATAACAAGTTATTGTAGTTATTTATATATATTGTATGTGAGTAGCATATTAACAAAATAAGCATCAGAATTATTTAAGCAATTTCAAGGGTAATGATATCAACAAAAAGAGGATAAATAGTCTGCCATTGTTATAGTCCGCAAAAATGTTAGCCTCATCAACTTGGATTACTAAGCTGTAAGTTCTTTATTGTTAAAAGAGTGCATAACTCCATTTTACGCATGACAAAAAGTGCAAGTAACTTTGGTGGGTTCTGCAACCAAACAAATAGAGCAAATACTTGAGATTTTCCATTGTGGAGCATGTACATGATGTGTAAATTTAGTGCCTGTCACAACCCGAATCCTGGGTCTGTGACCAACAATGCAGGAACGGTGTCAAAAGGACACCTCACCTACGCTAAGCCTCAGAAAGGATATATCAAAAGAACATGTTATTCAAAAAGACGCAGCATTTCATGATCTTTAGAAATAGTATATTATTCAAAACTGATGAAACCAAAAGATAATTCAAAACTTCTCATCAATAATTAAAATAAAAATAATAATCCATAATACTCATTACATTGTCACAAATCCAAACTTAATTAAAACAAGGTAACAGTGGAGCATCTAAAACATCAAATTAACAAGGTAACAGTAGACCATCTAAGACATTGAATCAAACTAAAAAGAAAGCCTCACAAAATAAGCAAGGCATACTAGCTAAAATTGAAGAAGCAGAAACACTCAACAAGGTTTACTTGCTATCAGAAACTAAAAACTTGAAATAATATTAAAAATGAGGGTTGAGTTCAACCAACTCAGTGAGGGAATAAGATTTAATATACATTTTAGATATTTTAGATATTAATAGTTTGTAAGACGATTTATCTTGACACACACACACACACACTAAACATATTATCATAAAGTAGTGGAATACATGTCAGAGATTAGATGACACTCAAAAGTGACTAAATAACACCCGAAGGTGATCATTATGGGATGATCAATCGCCATAGGCTGATGCCTCTCTCACTAGCTAGGTATATAGAATATTATATGCATATAAACTAACTATTTTTTGTTAGCATAGAGTTACTGACAAGTCCTATATCAAGACATAATAGATATTTGAAGAATCATCAAGGAAATGTATATCATATCAAATAGAATTTAGCTCGACAGAATGCGAGTACAAGTTTAAGAATACATGAGTACTCGGAAAATAAAGCAAAAGATATAAATATTTAAAAGATTAACTAATCGTACTCATCATATAATCAACATACATATTTATTTATATTATATGCATATTAAAGATTATCTCACTCACTCGAAAAATATAGAACTAAAAGGAATATCATAAGAAAGACTCGAAAAACCTATTGAGGATCATTAGGAGAACATACAATAAATATACAAAATATACTCAAAATCAACTCAAAGTAACACAAATAAAAGATTCCAAGCATAAAAGAAAACTAAGTTTAGTCTCCTAGGTTTAGAGACTAAAACGACAAATATTTAAAACAGGGACCAAAACATAATTTTACCAAAACTGGACCAAACTGTAAATACATAAGCATACTGAAATTTCACCCATAAACAATCCTCAATTCTGTTCAAAACAACATAGGGACCAAACTTTGATTTTTATAAAGTTTAGGGACTAAAATATAAATTCTTACAATTGAGGGACCAAACTAAAAATATTCCAAAAAAATTACCAAACTAAGATTCATCATCCTTAACCTGATAATAACACTGTCCAAAATCTCAAAAGACATATCAAGGGTCAAATTATAATTTTTTAAAATTTAGGGACTAAACTGTAATTTTTATAAATCAAGGACCAAAATAAAAAAAAATTCCATCTTTAACCTCAAGACCATTCTGTCCAGATTTTCCAGCAAGGTTGAAATGAATTTCTTAACCTTTAAAAATCAATTTAAACAAATCAACTCATAAATACTTATTTTTAACAACATACTCAAAATCAATCGTTTAACATTAAACCCTTAATAAATATAAATTAATCTTGATAAAATAAACTTCAAATCCTTATAAACCCTAATATCTTCTTTAATCATTCCATAAACAAACTATAATCAAAAGTAATATGAAAGAAATTTATTTATTTGTTACTTCCACCTTTCTTGAACCAAAAACTTAAAATTAAAAACTAAAATCTTTGGTTTGAGAAGGAGAGGGTCACAGTGGTTGCAAGAATTAGAAGAAAGAAAAGAAATTCTCTTATAAATCTTCCTTAATTACCTATATTAACTTAGGTTGGATTTGTACTGACTTGGACTTAGATTTGGGCTAAAATTTTGGGTCTTACAATGCCTATTTGGTAGTGCAACGAAGAGAAAAAGATGATTTCACCTAGCTTACGTATGCTAGATGCCAAATTAAAAGCAGGATATCTATACCACAACTTAGCAAAGAATGTTTGCTGAGACATTTATCATCCTGAGGAGCACCTTTAAGCTTAGCCTAGAAGGTGACATGATGAACAAGGCCCCTGCAACAAAACATTTACCCAGGCACCACCTTTCCTATCTCAAGATCAGCACCTTGATTGATATTACACTCATAAAAAAATTAATCTAAAGAATAAAAGTTTAATGCATTATGGATGTAAATATATTTACTTAATCCTAAGGATGGAAGTTAAAATGTCAATAAAAATGAGATTAACAAGCAATTGCTACTGCTTACTAGGTGCTTTTCATTGTAGAATTCAACAGCCTCTTTTGCAGCATCCTTAAATGGTTCAAGATATGGGTTTCACAATTTTGATTTTTGCAAGTGCAATAGGATCCCTAATAAAATGCATGCATCCATTAACATATATTTTTAAAAAGAAGAAAAAACCAAGAATGATTATGGATCTAAAGTCAGGAATGGGAGGAGAGCCTCAAGCTAAACAAGACCTCCAATGACCCCAAAGCCACCTACTCTCCACTCCAAAGATCTTTATCTTTTATAAACCTATGGGAGGAAGGTAAGTTTCTAGATAGAGTCCTCTAAAACCTCCCATATTTGTTCAACC